CCTTTCATACAGGGGGGCCCCCAAGGGGGGGTCCCGACAACGCTCTACGCTAAATTTTGAGAGCCGGCTACGTATTACGCTGAATAGACCCATTCGACTTTCACGGACCGCATAAACTGCTTACGTAACAGGGGGGACATTTCGAAAGAACATCGTTCTAGAACGATGAAGTCGAACGCGGCTTGCGCTCGCGGTGTCCCCCCTGGCAAATTATTTTTTGACTAAAGTGTAGGTAGTGTCTTTTTTTCTCTGTAATATATGCGGAAATGACAGGAAAACAGGCACCAACTTTGTATGGTGGAATTCCGTACAACAATTTAAGGTTATTTTGTTCTGTGACGTATGCAGTTTATGCAATCTGTGAAAGGAACTTTCGAAATGTCCCCCCTGTGACGTAGTTTCTATTCGAAATGTACCCCCTGTGACGTATGCAGTTTATGCGATCCGTGAAAGTCGAATGGGTCTATTCCGGACGCCTCTCTACGCTCTACGCTAAATTCGAAAGATCCCGAACGCTCTATGCAGAACTCAATCACCTAGCAACTACATGTTTGCGTGAAAACCTTTTGATTTATCACATGTAGAGGTGACATAACTTGAATTAAAAGTAGTAACCGGCGGTCACTTCCTTATACATTGAAAGTATAGAATACAAAACGGGGTATTCAGTATTACCGCAGTTACGAACTTGACCGTGAGTCGATCGCCCGAAGATCGGAGGGCGATCCGTGAATGGAGGTAACATGGCCGTAGCCAGGATTTTGAAGGGGGGGGGGGGACCAACGAGCGCCGAAGGCGCGAGGTTCCTAGGGGGGTCCGGGGGTATGCTCCCCCGGGAAATTTTTGAAAAATGAACCTTCTGAAATGGCATTTCCTGCGTTTTTAGAGGGTTTCAAAGAAAAAATCAGAGATAACCTTTTCAATGACAAAGTGAGCCGTTTTCCTACGACGGATTCCAGCCTTGCTGGTGACACGAATCAGTCCGTCTTTTAAAGAAAAGTCTTGGACCTTTAGATAAAAAGTGGACCAAAAAGTGGACATTTGAGCCTTGTGGGGTTGTCGTCCGAAGGTAGAAAAGGCCGCAAACAATACAGCGTAATTTGTCAAAACGACTCAGCTGCCGATTGCTGACGGTCCCGCGTTACCCATCACCCGCACAATGACGGGGATGACATTGCTCTTTTCGGGAGTGTCCTCCATTACCCTGGCCGTTGATCAGCAATGATGTTCCCACTAGGAAACGTCTTGAGGGCCCCTATTGGGCCTTACAAGTCATACCCTCTTCATCTGTGGCCATCTGTGGCGTTTGGCCAATGGTCCTCCTGTACGTCACCGATGGTAAGGTCAATCTCGTACCCAGCGCACTGTGGGATCATTCCCATGTGTTGCCTTGTTCTTGTGTATGGCTCTGGGAACAAGTCTAGTGGATTGTTCGATTGTATAGAAGGGGGTAGAGCAAGAAAGACCTCGAGGGCCGCGACAACCCGGCACTTGCGAGGCCTCGAGTTCCCGTTGCGGCTTGGATTACGCTCTACGCACAATTAATCGATTACGCTTTACGGTTAATTCCCGATAGCTACAACGCATTACGTAGAATTAAAACGGCGAATTACGCTCTACGCCAAATGCGCCAATTACGCTCTACGTTGAATTAGAGGGTCCGTCTACGCTCTACGTAGAATTAAAACGGCCGATTACGCTCTACGGAAAAGGGCTTGGGGCCCCCCATACAGGTTTGACTTAATATATGAATAATTTTAGCTAGGATCTGAGAAACCTCTCGTGGTTTTAAAAAGAGCGTTTATAGTACAGGAGCCAATATCTAAAAGAGGCCTAGAAATGTGATTTCGTGGCACTACGTTTTTATACCAAAATTGCTTAAAAATCGAATTTTAAAGCGCCATAAAACTTGAAAAAAAGTAGAATTTGGACTTTTGGAGAAAAAAATTTACATTTTTGTTATCCCCATCAAACGTTGTATCAGCCTATCAATTTTCATCAAAAAAAAAAACGTTGATATTTAATTTTCTGCCCCTCCCCCTTGAAAATGTGCCTTTTTTCGCTTGTTCTATTCAAGCGTTACACCTTTACGGGCCCGTAGAAAAAAGTGATACCACAATTTGAGCATAAAATCATACTGGGTGATGTGGCAGAGGCCCCTCTACCACGAAATAAGGTCAAACCTTTTCTGTAAAGTGGGTGCCACGAAATCACATTTTTCAGGCCCTGGCTCCTGCACTATTAGCTGAAAAGGCACTGAGTTAGACCTGTAGCCAATTTCCGTTCGAAGGGTTCTACACGGCTGTCATCTTAGCATACATTTCCAAATCTCATCTAAAGTTCGTCACACACAAGCCAAGATAGTAGTAATGCCATTTTAAGCTGCTTCAATAGTACTCTCAGTTGCGTACTTCACTTTAACCTAGCCTCTTACAACTAAGAGAAGAAAGTGTGTTCACTCACTGTGGCGCCCTAATTGACTCCATATGAATCCATCTCCATATTTTAAAATCATAACGTGGCCTTAGCTGTTTCTCGGTTCACTGGGGAATGGCAACTTTGAAACTTTGAAACTTTGAAACTTTATTTTCAATACAAACATGGCAGACAAAAGTCTGAATTGCGTTGGTATTTACAAACCATTGAGCTCGTTTTATATTATTATACACAAGCTGTGGGTATTTACAGTTTTAAAAGTAAATTCTTAATTTCTATATAAAACAAATTGGCATCTCTTAAAGATAAAAAGATCAATTAAAAACTCGTAGTTAGGCGTAGATTGACAACAAGATAGGTGCAGGGTAAACTTTAGATTCGAAATTCAGACAGTTTATTCAGAGTACAGTTCAGAGTTCACTGTCCCTTGTTGAGCAGGTTTGAAGTAGGAATTGCGTCAGTTGGCTTTTAAAGAAATTGAAGTTTTGCGTGCAGATCAATGGATACCATCGAACGGACGTCATGTTCAACTCAGCTTTGGCCTGACTGGCTTTTGGAGCACCTTTAGATGCATAGCGGATAAGGCGGCCCTGAGGCATATGATGTTATGTATGCACCACGCACGTTACATCTGTGTCTATATAGCCGGTATAACTGCCTTTAGTTTCGGCGTGACACACCAGCTTCACAGGCACGCGGCGCGGCGGCAGCTGGCTATAGATAGTACATTACACCCATTGACTTGTTACACCTAACCCTTGAACATCTAACTCTACACATTGTTTGAAGTTATCTAATGACAATGCCCCTGCTGTATTTGGTGACAGCGAGTTCCACTCTGCGATAGTTCTAGGAAAGAATGAATTCTTTAACACCTCAATCCTTGGTTGATAATACTTGAAGTCATGAAACATTTGAAAATGTAGGAATCTTGTTTTTTTAGGCCCGCCTTGTTTTGTTTTCGTCCTATCGCATTAGATTTGGAGTCTGTTGACGATGTCATCCATAAAATTTACTTGCTGTGGCCTTATACATGTAGGTCGACTCTTTTAACCACTGGTGAATGACGAAAACTGTCCGATTAATTTTCATTTAATTAATTTGGTCACCGGAGAGGAAAATCGCAATAACACTAATCTCACTGAGAAGTGCCAGAGCGCTTGAAAGCCAGTCAACTAAGACTAAGAAAGTATTGTTTTCAACGAAGCGAACACAGGCAATGCTTGCATGTAGCTTTGTACTTCTGAAGAATGATAATAATCTCCAAACAGATATCCTATCCAACTTGATGAAATTTGGGAAAGCGCCATCTTTCTGTACTTATGTGAAAAGCAGAATACATGTACATTGCCTCTTCATTCTATTAGCAGGCAAAGCTGATGTACTTATTCACGTCTGTATAGATATACGCTGACCATGGTGTCAAATTATTTACCTAGTCCTACTCACTCACTCATCACTCACTGACTCACTCACTCACTCACTGACTCACTCACTCACTCACCGTCACTCACTCACTCACTCACTCACTCACTCACTCACTCACTCACTCATCCACCCACTCACTCACTCACTCACTCACTCATCCACCACTCACTCACTCACTCACTCACTCACTCACTCACGCATTCACTCACTCACTCACTCACTCACTGAATCACTCACTCAATCAATCACTCACTCACTCACTTACTCACTCACATCCCCCAATGGGCGTTCTACTATCGATTAATTTCACCCCCTTAGTGTGAGTGGCATCGTCCAATTTCAACATGGCGGGCTTTTGAAAAAATTGAAGCGTGATTTGGTGTGAGTTTTCCTATCTGTGCTGGTTTGTTCGGAAAGGTTAGTTTTGTAGGTTATGAAATATCTGCTATAGCGTAATTTCTATTACATGTTCATGTAACAGTGCAGAAATATGGCTTAGTGTTGTAATATTTTCCCCGTTGCAAAATATTTTTATAATTTGTGGGAGGGGGGCGTGTCTCGGATTTCTGTATCTGTATAGCCCGGGTATACGTGTTACCCACCAGCTTTGCAGGCACGCGGCGTGGCGGCAGCTGGCTACATTACACCTATTGACTTGTTACACCCTTGAACGTCTAACTCCAGACATTGTTTAATTACTTTATAGCTATCTAAAGGACAATGTCCCTAGACTGTACTTGGTGACAGCGAGTTCTACGCGTTTACTGTCGACTTTCGAAACTTTGACTCCCCGTCTAGCTTGTCGTATCACTGGAAAGTACATGATTGAGGTCCTTGGGCACTTCTCTTGAAGTTTTCATTTATGTAACCGTGGGAGGTATATTGAAAACAGCATGAGTCGTCCTTTGTAGTAGTACTATATATAGCTATATGGGTGCCACGTAGCTAGGTAAAGACCCGTAAAGACATGTATGTGAAGATTTGAAGAGGAACGGCGTTTGAAGTAAATAAAATATTTGAAGGAAAAGTGATCTACTGAGTCAGCATTGAGTGCCATTATTATTTATTTTTGTATCATTTCTGTTGCATTGATCAACACAACACAGCATGTACTATGATGGCAGGGGCATCAAGTACAACCAAGGAGCTCCAATCCAACCTCCCTGGTAGGGCACAGGCACGTGTGGATGTGGTTAGTATGTGCTTACTTGACATGACAGTCTATAAAAGAACAGTGAAACAGGGTACAAATTAAGAATAAAATCTACATAATAAAAGGTAATTATCCTGGAAATATGTCTGAAGGGTTTGACTTCCATGTTTTTTGTAAACCATGGACCCTTTCCAACAATTGGGTTTTGGGTAGCCTGGGTACCATCCTCATGGTACCCAGGCTAGGTTTTGGGTGGTTAAAAGCAGAAAAGTCTGTAGTGTAAGCTTAGAAATTTGGAGAAACTTGAAAATGTAAGAAATTTGGATAAAATGTTAATGGTTTATATAATGTTATATACCATTTCAGTATGCATATTGTAATTGTTTCCCCAGTCCGTCATCATGCCTGTGCACAATGCTGCGGCCTGGCTGCAGGAGTCTCTGCAGTCTGTCCTGCTGCAGACGTTCAGGGGCTGCATGGAGATGGTCGTCTTCAATGATGCCAGCAAGGTATTAATCTAATAAGGTGCAGATATTGCTCTAGCTGTGGCTTCAAAGGAAGGCGACTTTTACAGTTTAAAGGAACCACATCATGCACTGCCCTCCTCCGGGTACAACAGCAAGTGGTCTTGACATGCTTACTAGTACATGCATGTAGGTACTAGGTACGTAGATGTAGTCATGGCAGAACAAAAAGAGGAGGAAAGAACTGCACGTAGAAACACTGCAGATGAAAATACAAAATGTTCATACTTTACTAAAACTTACACTAAAACCTGTCATACTATCTTGATTCAGACGAGTTATAGATCTCCATGATCACTAATGTTACTCAAGCACCATGCATATGACCTGAGACTTACACAATCAGAAATATCACTGGATAAGATGTAATGTATTATATATAATGTTACATACATGTACATGTACATTTGTGAACAAGTAAAAGATCAACTTTATCACCTGGAATTTCCTACACCCGTGTAGGACAGTTCCCTGCAGATAATTGAGGACTGGAGACAGAAGTTTGAGTCAGCAGGAATACTGATGACTGTCGGGGGTCATGATTCAGACTCACCCAGAGGAGGTAGGTTATGTAACATCTGTGTGCATAATATCACCAGGGTCCATAATATCACCACCTTGAGAAAAAGTGTGCTTAAAGATATTTTTACTGCAACATACCCTAGGTATGTACATTTGATACCAAAAGTATGTTGCAGTAAAAATATCTTTAAGCACACGAGTCTCAAGGTGGTGATATTATGGACACAGATGTTAACAACATTGAGCGTACCTTCTTACAATTACAACATTACTAGTACACAAGCATTTTGTTGATGAATATGCATGAGAGTGAGAGAGATGCGTGAACACTATTTTTGTACATCAGCGAATATCTACATCCATTAAATTCTAGTAACATGTCTTTAAATTGTTTTGAAATTTATTCTAGAACTAAGGTTTGAGTGACTTTGTTGTCTTTAAAGTGTACAGTAGTTGGTGTTAAGGGAACTTAACTGGAAACTTTCCTTTTAGTTGGCTATGCCAAAAACCAGGCCATCCTGCAGAGTAGTGGAGCATATCTGTGTTTTCTGGATGCAGTAAGTACAAAAACATGTATGTACTAGTATGTAACTTTGTAAGTCCCATAACCGTGACAGTTGTAGGGGCATCATGACAGCCAGCAGCATGTCTGAACTTGCCATCATGTTTCTGTAGTACATGGTGCCTCATCTGATTATCATATATATAATAATCTCATTGAGAACATTTATTCAGCCCATTCTTGAACCATATAACTACACAGACAGTAGCAGTAGTTTAACTTCAGAATCTTGCACATAGGATGACGTGATGCACCCCAGGAGAGTGGAACTCCAGTATGAAACAGCAGTCAGACATCAAAGTGCAGTAAGATCAACATTTTTGTTTCTAAGCTTACTTAATCTGTTGCTCTCCTGTACAAACTTAGCTATGAGAGATGAATAAAGATGCATGCGGTAACATCTGTGTCCATAATATCACCAGGGTCCATAATATCGCCACCTTGAGAAAATGTGTGCTTAAAGATATTTTTACTGCAACATACCCTAGGTATGTACATCTGAGGTGTGCAGGAGTGCATACCAAAAGTATGTTGCAGTAAAAATTTCTTAAAGCACACTATTTCTCAAGGTGGCGATATTATGGACCCTGGTGATATTATGGACACGGATGTTACATGCTACTAAATTTCTTAACAATCACCATTAGAATCACTGCACCATGATTTAAGGACTTACAATGTACTCACAATATGTTTCATATGTCAAAATGGAACACTTTTGTATGTTGACCCAAACATATATTTTTTCCCTCAGCATGAAACTTTCATGCTGAGGGAAAAAAATGAACTTTCATTGAAAGTTCATCTGAGTTGGTAAATTACATTTGGGTCAGATAGCTGAGGAAGACTGAGTGATTCAGTTGAAAATTTCTGGTGAGTCAAATTTTGAGTTGGAGAAAAGTTTAAGTTTTTCATAATATTTTTTCCCCACTGATAATGTGTAGATAGTTGGCTGCCGTGTCCACCGTGAACCAGACGGGTCCACAGACAGGTACACACGGTGGATCAACACCCTCACACCTGAACAGCTCACAACACAGGTGGGCATGTGTACTTAACCAGGCAATTATCAGTGACAGGACAGTGTGTTAAACTTTGTGTTACAGATTGATCTGATCTGTCCCTTTAGATGTCACTCTAGTCAGGTTTGTATCACATGAGATCACTTACTAAAGGTATAGAAGATGAAAACTAAAACATCATAGTTTTGCCCATGTTTTGTCTTAGAATTCTCCATAAACAAAAACTTACCCTTTAAACTGTCACCCATATTAATTATGTTTACCGAAGGAAAACATATTGTTTTTCCTCCATTTCTTCTTCTTCTTCTGTTCCAAACGCTGACCTCTGACCTGGCCAATGGCCTCTTTTGTTGACGTCTGTCACCATAGTAACTGGTGTTGGGTTACATAATGTTGCAATCTCATAGTAGGCATTTAGACTCCCGTCACCATATACATGTACGTGAATGTGTTTAGAATTAACAAAGCAGACCATATCCGAAGGTAAACATTATGCATTTGCTTTGCAAATGTTACTTTTCTAGTGTTTCTGTTGTTATTGAAGGAGTTCAGAAGGACAATTTGTGAATTGTTCAGACACATGTACAGGACTGGGCCTAACATGTATCCTTACTTAACTGCTGACATTATACCACATGGATATCTTGTTGTTATCCTTTAGAGGAAACATCTACAGATGAAGACTGCCTTTTGAAATCAGTGTTCTGATCCTTCTCTTGTCTTGTGCACGTGTATCAGATCTACACAGCCAATGGTCCTACAGTGATCATGCCGACATGGTTCTGTTCCCGTTTAGTGTGGGACAGGGTCGGAGGCTTCAATGAAGGAGGAAAGGTACACTTACAATAATTTTTACTGTACAACAAAAGGGCTCTATCTAGCATATATACTGATGATGAAAAACTTAAACTTTTCTCCAACTCAAAATTTGACTCACCAGAAATTTTCGACTGAATCACTTAGTCTTCCTCAGCTATCTGACCCAAATGCTGACAGTGGACAGTGAAATCACGTGAAATCATGTGTCCACAGCATTTGGGTCAGATAGCT